GGCTGGACAGATGGATTTCAGGGCACTGTTGATAAAGACACCGGTATTCCTTTGTTAGGAAGATGTTGGCTAAAAAAGCTTATGGATGCCATAAGTTGCTGTCTTGCATGTACAGAAATGTTTTAGGTGAGCAGGGAGATGGGTTGCTTAAAAGGCATAAAACCAAATTGTAGTCCTTTATGTAATGAAACTTCTGGAAAATGAGCTGAAACAACCTTACGTGCTGCCCTTGAGAGAATGAGCATCTGCATTTTTCCTCTATGCTGTCACCGAATACAGATTCAGTTGGAAGTGACAAAGAACTTGTTGGAAGAGGGGCGGGAAATACAAGCAAGGCAATATGTTTCCCAGTCTCCTGAATGTACACAGAACCCTGCTCACATCTGGTGCCAGTGAGCCAAGGCTGCACCCTGTCAGTGTTTAGCGCTGAAGCTGCAAGGCGTCTTGCCCAACTTTAGCCACAACAATGAATTCTCATGTGACACCGAGGGAACTGCCTGTCCCCCAGCAGAGACTGCTGCTAATCACTGCAGTTCCTCTCGAGTGCATTAACCTTGTGCTTGTAGCTGCTGCAGCTTCGTGTTCCTGTATCGACTGCTTGCCTGGAGTGGGGAATTAATAGGAAGTCAAATTCTGTTGTCTGGAGAAGGTGAAGTTGCGTTTTGTAGGGACAAATCGAACCTACTTGGGGGGACAAAGCTGCTTACGGCAGATGCACAATTCCATTTGAGATCCCTGATCTCCGCATACGTTTTGCTAACATCTACCTCTAGCATTTGGGGAGGAAACGTCGTTCTGCTGGGTTCCAAGCGTCAGGAGCGAGGAGGTTTGCCAGTCACTAGGTGGCAATGTTGATTCACGTTTAAGTCCTTTTTCCTCGCTGTTCTTGCCAACGAGGAGCTGTTTTCAAGATGTGCCCGTGTCAGCGCCGCAGAACAAAACTCAGGCTTGAAGAACATGAACATTTCCAGGTGCAAAAGTTGCTTTTTTCCCCCTAAAATGTGTAACGCAGCGCAGTAACTGTGGTGAGAAGGGTCAGGACTGAAATGTTCCTTTCCTTCTGGTTTGCTGTTTCATTTCCTTCCTAGTGTGCTGCGTGTCCCCCCTCCTTGGAGGCTTCAGCATTCCAGCGGGCTGGATTTCTGGTTTCCTGGACAGCTTGTGTTGATTCATTAGCTGAAAATCTGCTGAGTAGCTTAGTGCTCTTCTTAGAAATCTTGAATGACTTTAGGATTTGAAGTGGAGGGTGAGGAATTCCGATTGCAGGATGTGGTGTCTCGCAGCATCAGCTGCAGCGGTTCTTTGTGTTCCAGCTATCTTTCCTCTGCCCAGAATGAAGGATTCCAGTTAAGGCTCTTGCTTGCAGGAAACTCTGGCCCTTAGGGAGGAAAGGGCTAATCTAGGGAACTCTACAGAGGTTGGAGAGAATGCATCGGCTTTGCTAGCAGTGCCTCTGATGGATTCGGTGGTGGTGATGACTGAATCTGGAAGGAGTCCCTCTCTGGTTGGAAGGACTGCACTTGCACAGCTGAACCTAAAGTAAGGGGAAGTGTGGAAAGGGAAAGGTCAAAATGTGCCTCTCCTGAAGCCTCAAGGCTCTTCAAGGGTGGGGAGAGGAGGACCAGATGGTGGACCTGTGCTCTTTCTGTGCTCCATCACCTGCATCTTGTGTCTTGCTTTGAGAGTTCATGTTGATACTCTCAGGCTTTCCTCTAAATCTTGCAGAGAAGTTGATTCATATTTGGGCCAGCTATGGATGTATTGTGAAATAAGTGATGGGAACCAGCTGGAAGCCTTCATTTTGGCTGTATATATGTATGCTGGGCTCCATAAGAAGAGGAGTTCTAGGTATACCCATGTCACTGCTTATGATCTCACCTGCAGCTCCAGTCGTTTGCACCTAATGCAGCTAACTGTAGCCAGAGCAATGGGCAGAGCTGCTGTTTGCCTTGTGTGAGTGAAGGGCTGCACAGAGAGCATGCAGATGAGCCTGCACCATCTGCCAGGGCTCCAGCTGTGTGCTGTGAAGTTTGGCTCCCAGTTAGGTGGCCAGGGCTTGAATCATAATATCACAAACAGCAGGGTGGAGGAAAAGCTTAAATTAGCCAAGGAAAAACACTGCCCAAGCTGCTCTATGGATGTGCTCTCTGTGTTTGCAGGCTGAGCTGGTGCTGGGGCAGAGGCAGTGTAGGCTCAGACCTGAGTTTTGAGGTTTTGCTCTCAAACAGGTTCCTGACCATGCACGGAGTCAAGCTTCCTGGTGACAGGGAGGGTTTGCCAGCCTGGTTGGTCAACCTCCATCTTCCCCTGCACAAGGATCCCTGTGTGGAAGCAGCACTTGAATCTCTCACCTCTCATGATGCGTGTTCCTCCTTCTGGTGCTCTGAGAGAGCAAACCAAAGCTGGCACTTGTGTTAAAACCAGGGAAGGCACGTGTTGTGCAGCTCTGGGAAGCAAGCCTGCACTTTTACCCATTGGAGGAAGCACTGTTTCCCATCAGAAAAGGAAGTCCCATCCTTTCAGCTCAACATCCCTCCTCCCGAGACCCCATAGTGTTGATGAAGACAGGGCTTTTGTTCCTGGGCTGCTTGCTGCTATCCCCAGCATTGCTGGTGAAGGGAGATGGTTTCCCCTCTTTGCAGTCTCAGCACAAAGCACTGCAGGGCTTCCAGCCAGGGAAGAGATGGGGAGGTGAAAGCTGCAGTTGCCATGGAAATGATGCATGCAAGGAGCAGAGCTGCCCCTCCGGTGCCACACTCATTCAGGAGCCAGGCCACATTGCAGGGACTTGCATTTCCAAGACTTTTCCTTAAAACTCCTTTGCATAGCATGGGATTTTCATTGTACCATCCTCTGGGCTGGCTGGCTGCAATGAGGTGATGGCTTATGGGGGTGTGGCGCTAAATCACATTGCCCTCACACTGAGAGCATCCCTGAGGTTGTGTGTAGGGACTGGGTTTGTCTGCTGGGCATGTGAAGCGTCCCACTGTTAAGGTGAGCATTGATGTGCCTGTGGCAGATGGATGAAATCTCCATTTCTATGTATTTATTACTTTTCAGGTCAGGTTTCTGACCACAGCCATCCTCGGGTGTGCTTTTAATTTGCAGAACTGAGACTTGGATGTTTTAGGGGACTTCTTTTTAAGCTTCTAGAGTATCTCAGGATTGATTTCAAGGTGCTGGCTAAGACCAGATGCACCCAGCTGCTTTTAACCTTCATTTGCTGTTGGAAACCTGACAGGTTTAAGCTTGTACAGAGCTCTGCCTAGCAAGCTGTGTCTGAACACAGCTTCTCTTAGCAGGGTGCTAACGCTGCATCCACAGCCTATGGTAATAAGCATAAGTCGTGTTGTACAGGTTGCAGCAACTTGGATGCGAGTGGCCTTGCTCAAGTAAATTGCATGATTACAAGGCTTGAAGTTGGAAAAGGAGCTATGGCTGTGGGGGGAACTGCAGTGCCTGTGATCTCTCCGTACCTGGTGTGATAACGGAGCGCGCAGCTGCTTGTGCTTCAGAGGCAGGTAATGAGGCAGCCCCATAGTCCCATTACAAGTGGTTTATAGGGTGCGAGGGGAGATGTTTGTGTAACCAAGTACCCAGCAGCAGGAGATGTGTTCAGGATGACACAGCCTTCTGAGGATGTCATCCAGCACATGCCATAGGGGCCGTTAGTTGCGTGCTAGAGGCTGGCCTGCGGCTCCGCTGCCTGACTCCAGACGTGCCATGGTTTTCAGCTTAAACGATACCAAGATTTGTCAGTGGCAGGGTGAGTGTGCAACATAGAATCATGGAATGGTTAGGGTTGGAAAGGACCTTAAGGTCATCAAGTTCCAGCCCCCCTGCCACGGGCAGGGACACCTCACACTGAACCGTATCACCCAAGGCCTCGTCCAACCTGGTCTTGAACCCTGCCAGGGTGGAGCATTCACAACCTCCCTGGGCATAGAAACAAAAAAATAGCTCTGGTTGGAGAAACTGAGCTTGTCCAAAATGCCTGAGAGTAGGATGAGCATGTGGAGAATTACTTAATTCTCCTTGTTTTGCAACATGTTTTCCCAGCTGTTGGAGTCTGCTGTCTCATTCAGCTTCCTGACAGCAGAGCAAACATTTTGAAGGTCCCATGGCCCCGTCTCATTCTCTTGTCAGCCATTCCTGTTGCTCTTCTCTCTATGCTTTTCCTGGAGCTATTTATTTGCATTTAATTGTCACTTAGAGCTTAACCCTGCAGCTTTAGTGGCGAGCAGAGCCAAAGGGGGCACTTGCTTATAGAATCATAGAATAGTTAGGGTTGGAAAGAACCTTATGATCATCCAGTTCCAACCCCCCTGCCATGGGCAGGGACACCTCGCTCTAAAGCATGCCACTCAGGCCAGACCCGTCATTTCCTTCTGATGGCAACAACCTCAAGGCCCAACTCTGGTGTTTAAACTCCCGTTGGAATTGTGGCTGTGTGAATGCAGCTTAGCCGAATTTACCGGGATGAGGAAGAAAGGGGAATGTGGCTTGGCATCAGCGCATCTTACTGGGCATAGAGCACTTGCGCCTGTGTATGCTTTCACCTGGAGGCCTGTCTCCTGCTTGTCCATGCCAGCAGAGCAGTCTAACCCATCGCTTCATGGTTCTACCATCTCCCCCCTCGGCACTGCATCCCTAAACCCTCCTGCTCCAGCACTCTCAGCCTTCCCCTCCAGCTCAGCGCCTGTTGAACGCAGCGGCGCGCATGGGAGCGCGCTGCGCTCTGCTGCTGCCAAACCCACAACAAATGGCAAGTTTCCGTCTGTCATCCCGGCTCCCAGGCTGGGCAGCCCGTGTTCATTTTTCTTCCTTAAAAGGCCATTGCATCTCCTCGTCTGCAGCCGTTGCTCTGCGCCGCAGGCAGGGCGAGCGGCGACGCTAGCGCGCAGCGCTGCGCATCCACGCATCGCGCCTCAAAGGGATCAGCAGGAGGGAGGGACCGAGGCCGAAGGTGGGGTTGAGGTGACTGTAGGCAGCAGGTAACGCCCCCTGATAGGGTTTTATTGCTAAATCCTAAAGGAAGAGAGATAACAGGAGAGTTCTGGTGCAGCAAAGCCTTAAAAGTCCGGTCCCATGCAGGAAGGATATGTGTGCGCTAAGCCACGCAGTGCGTCCCATCGAGGGTGTAGGGTCAAAGTTGGAAGGGGAGTGCTGAGAGTCAGGAGGTCTCCTCCTCGTCAGCTTTATCTTGATGGGGGGAGCAAGGGAAAGCCACGTGTCAGGGGTTCTCCTTGCTTCCTTAGAGGCTGGATGGTGCATAATCATACCCTTGATCCCTGGTTGTGAGGGAGCACCCAGGAAAGCCAGAGAGAGGGAAACAATGGCCCGTATGTTGCTTTTAGGTGTATGCATGGTCTGGGCTAGGAGTAGTACAAGAATTGAGTGGTGCCAGCAGCAGCTTGCTCCTAAATGCACCTTTCCAGAAAGGAGGCACAATGATCAGCCCCAAATCACTCCTTGCCTTAGCTGTGTACCTGCCACCCTTCCTCAGGACACATAAGAAGGGGCAGTAGGAGCCCCGAGAATACCTCACCTGGAAAAGAGGGCAGGAGTGGGCTGGATTTAATTGCTATGGTGGAGTGGAGAGGCTCCATCAGTGGGAGCTCAGGTGGTGCTGCTGCTTTTACAAGGTCAAGTCTATTTATGCAGTGGTATGTGGAAATGCTTCGCTTGATAAATGAGTCTGACAGAGGAGAGGGCAAAGCCCAGCCTGGAAATGGACCTGAGGAAAGAGGTCAGCTTAAATGGGGTGTCTGTCTTTTAGAGGGTAAAAAAAGCTGCTGAAAACAAGAGCTCAACCTAGTCCCTTTAAAAATAGACCACGTAAGTCAGTGCAATTGCAAGCAACAAAGCTTACTCCTGTGCTTTCTTTCTGCCTTATATAGCAATATTCATTCAGGGAAAAAAGCAATTCTCTGACTGTTCCCTGACCACTGAATACCTCTGTGTCAGGTCCATAAGAGGCAGCAGCTCTGTCTTCCCTCTGTAGCTTTGTCCTTTGCCGAGGACGGGTCTAGAGGTGACAAGCTGAGCACAGCTTCACATGGGGATGGAAGCTTCACCCTCAGCAGTCTTGTCTCAACCTCTCTCCCTGCACACAGCCTGCAACCATTTAGGCAAAGGAGCCACTGGGAGCAGCTGCAAACCTGTAGTGGTCAGTATCAGGACAGTGTCTTTGGGGATAAACTGATGGGCATCACAAGGGGTTGGATGAGAGCAGCCTGGGCCGGTGGTGCCAGGGTTGAAAGGTATTCGGATGCCCTGAATGTGGCAAAGTGATCCCATAGCCACGTTGCTGGGGTTGGAAGGACCCTGGAGCAGAGGCTGAGACTTGCTGCAGGCTGAGATGAGCTTTAAGCTTTGCCTTTTCCTGCTAGATCCCTTTGAAAGAGCAAGGGAGGAGAGGTGTTCTTCCATTTCATGCATTAAACAAGAGGAAGTAATATAACGTGATGACCCCAACATCAGGGAGAGACCCTAAATCTCTGTATGGACCAGCGTGCTCAGATTGCGTGATTGGTTTTAAGCAGGGAGGTAACTGACCCTGGGTTGCTTGCCTGTCTTCACAATAGGATGTGATGCCACTGAGCTGTTGTGGGAGCTCTCTGCACTTAAGGTTAAAACCCTGCCCAGTGCTACTCGTGTTTGCAGAGCACCAGAGCAGGGTTATCACTTTGCTGCTGCAGTGGGAATGGAGGTTGGAGAGGATGGAAACAAGGCCGTTCCCAAGCTAAATTAAAAACATTGTTCTGCCCTTACTCAAGAAGCTCCCTCTTCCCTCTCTTTCCTCCCCCTCACATTCCTGGCGTAGTAATCACTGCTCTCTAACCTCAGCTTCATCTGCCGCAGGCTCACCACTTGAGAAACGCAGTTAAACCCCCCCTGGCTCTGCATACACCTCTTCTTGCTGTACCTCGGTGCTTCCAGGGCCCTCGTCTTTGGAGGGGTCTGAGTCAGCAGCAGAGGTTTTGAGCTGTATTGTGTCAGGGCAGCTGATGACTGTGCTCTCTGTGCCAGGGCCCTGAGCTGGCCTAACCTGGCATGTGCAATGCAAGGAGGTGTTTTGCTTCTCCTTTCTGTTTGCACATAAACAGATCGGAGCAGATGACACAGTCATCAGACTTCCTGAGCTAACAGGAGGCTGCTGCAGATGATGTCCGTTTTGGAGGCTGTCAGTAGAGTTTGTTTCCTAATTTGGTCACAGTGTGCTCAGGGCTGCTCTCCTTTTCTTTTCCTCTTTTAAAGCACCCATCCTCTTTATATCATTGTCCTGGAGGGGAAGCTGTGTGCAGCAGAGAACCTCCAGCTCCTCTCACTTCCTCTCTGCAGAGGAAGTGAGACTTGAAAGGTCTCTTTGAAAAGCAGTGCAGTTCTGAAGCTCATCTTCCCATTCTGATTTCCTCCTTTGCCGCTCTCTCATGAGCTCATCTCGACGAACTTGGCTTTTTATCCCTCTGGGTGGTCACCTGAGCGAGCCCTTTGTGCTGGGGGACTTCTCTTCAGGGGCAGAGTGAGCTGTGCTGCTGTTAAATAGTAACATTGATAAGGTGATCTATTGGTATATGTATTGCAGGAAGTAGATACGTGTGTGATTTCAGCTAATGGAAAGAGAATGAGTTCAGTTTCAGTTCATACATCATCACTAACCTGGTAGCGTGTAGGAAACTGTAAATGCCATCAATGGGAGAGAAATAGTAAGGCTGGTCAGCTCTGCTGAAAGACATTTAAAAGTTAGCTCCTGTGTCTTAAAAGTCATGGAATGGTTTGGGTTCGAAGGGACCTTAAAGCTCATCCAGTTCCAACCCCTGCCACAGACAGGGACACCTTCCACTAGAGCAGCTTGCTCCAAGCCCCATCCAACCTGGCCTTAAACACAAACTAGGGATTGCCAGTCCCTGGAAGAGGTCTGCTTTTCCATGCTGAACCACAATCAGCCCTAAAGAAATCACTTTCCTGGAGTGCAGGAGGCAGTTTAGCCCTTCCACTCTCAATGTGTGTTTTCATTCAGCAGCAGGAACAGCTGAGGAATCGACGCCAAACCTGTAGGTCTCTATTGCGTTATTTCTCTGCTGGACTTAGCAGAAGGAAGGGGAAAAAGCATTTCCAGGTGATGCAGTTGAGGATGCAGCTTTATTCTGTGTGGTCAGGAGGCTCGTGTGCCTTATGTGGTGGTGGAGGTACTGCTGTCACAGGAGCTGCTGACTCTGGACAAGACTCCCTGGCCTTGGAGATGCTGGGTTACCTATGGAAATCCAGCACTGCTTTAGGTTCAGAGTGCATGTCATAAACAGCTTGAGCAGAGCCTCAGGTTAAGGTGCACCCAGAGCAGCCTGATTACTGGTATTAAAGGTTTGCCTGTAGATGGGCAGGTATGGGCTGGTCTCTGGAGAGGGGAAACCACTATGTGTCATGTGTGGAATGCCAGGTTAGCACTGACCTCTGAAACATGAGTAACAGAGAAATGGGCACATGAAGTGGTGAGGCAGCAGGATGAGGGAGGGGGAAGGGAAGGTGAAACACAAGTTTTCTTCTAATTTAGTCAAAACCATCTCTGTGTGTCATTCTTATTTGCATGTTATCTTCTAATTAGCCCTGACTGACTCATCCACTGCTTCCACCTGAAAGGAACGGTATGTTTTTGAAGCCTATGGTTTCTAATCTCAGTAGGCCAGCATTTCTTCTTCTCCTCCTCCTCCTCCCTCCCCTTCCTGTGCCCCCCAAAAAGCATTCTCTTACTGCTTTTAACCTTCAAGCCTCTTTTTTCCTGTTCTTTCTGTTACTACTCTTGCATTATTAATGGGACTGTAGCAGTTCAGCCAGAACACTGACATTACCGATTACTACTCGCAGCAGAGGAGCGAGGAGCAAGGTAGAAACTGGGTCAGGAAATGTTGTCATAAAATGATAGCATCAGAACTGGGGAGCAGAGCTCTCTGTGAGCAGGTTTGCATTGGAAATGACCTCCTTCACCCAGTAGCATACCTGAGCGCATCCCCCATGCGCTGCTTTGCTGCTTGCAGATGGGAAGATCATCTCACACACAGAGAGGTTAATAACGGACCTGTAATTTCCAGGAGCAGAGGAATGGAGTGATAGGTTGTGTTCTGCTTGGTAAAGCTTTGAGCATCACAGAATTCATGGGCTCTTCATTGCTGGTGCTGGAGTAGGAAGCCCCTTCCCCTGTTGGTGTCAAAAGGCTGAGGAAGCAGAAGTGGCTGCATTTACTTGTGCACTCAGTGAGAGCCTGTCGCACTCGATGCACTCGGATTGTCCTTGGTGGTACCAAGGGCATCCTATAGGAGCAAACAGCTCTCCACACTCCATGTAAGCGAATATGACTGCTGTGGAATCAGAACAAGAATGTTATTTTGGGGATGCAGCAATTAACCTGTGAATCCTGGGCTGCTGTAAACATAAGAAATTGCCTGTTTCTGGTTAATGGAGCTGTGCCTCGTCATTCAATTGGACACAGCATCCGCTCGGGGATTTGGCATCCCTTGGAGGCCTTGTGTGAACAGTTGTGCTGTCATGTTAGCTTGCTTCTTGAGAGGGGGCAAGTGTGAAAAGGGAAGTGTCATTTACTGTAAAATGTAGCAGCTCCTATGGGAAGTGACAGTTAGAGAAAGTTATATCCTCAAATGCATGCTGTTGTCTTTAAAATAGCTAAAACAGCTAAAATGCATAGGTCAGCACTAAAGAATACAAACTAGGCCCATGTATGCTAGCAAAAGACAAGCCTGTCTGCCTGAAAGATGCTTTAAAGGACAAACTGAAGTCTTGTCTCTCCCAGAGGTGTGCATGTGCTTGTGGAGGGAACAAGAGCCTGTCTCTGGCTGGCTCAAGGTGGCATATTCCTTGGAAGTCTCTTGGGGACGGGGACTGTGTTCTCCTTCCCTCTGTGTTGCTGCTCCTGGTACCCATGACCACCTGTGTGTGCATCAGCTGAGATTGGGATGAAGATGGGGAAGCATCAAAGCAGTTTGTGCTCAGTCCCTGCTGGGCAGCCATGCATCCGGGTGACCCAGTGCCGTGCTTCGTTTATATTCCGGACCAAGGCTGGAGCCAGCACAGGAGCAGCGTGACTGCCTCACAAGTCAGATGGTAACTCACACACAAAGCGAGCTGGGGATTTAGGCTGGGCAGACTTGACGATATCCCCTTTCAAGGATTATCCCTTAAACTGTCCTAGTCGCACACCGCCTTTGGTGTCTGCTGGAGCCCTTCGCTAAGCATGAACAGTATTTAAAAGAGAGGCTGGCTGGCTGCTGTGCTCTCTGCTCTGTGGGCTGTAAAACTCTATCCTGCTGGAGCTAGCCAGCTTCATTTCTCTAACTGATTATAAGAAGTGTAGGGCTCTTAAATCCTGGCTCATGTTTTATCCATGGCGTTGGTGGAGCTGCCTGTTATCTCCAAGTGAGCCCAAAGCAGAGCTTTGCTAGTGCAGCTTAGAGTGTTTGGGGGAGAGCAGACATTGCCATGAAGTGGGAGCTGATGATAGGCAGTAATTCCTATTTAATAAAGCCATTGTGGAGCTGGAGAGGTCTAAGTTTATGACCCCAGTATTCTTTCTCTTTCTCAAAGGCAAGTACTGATTTGCCATTAAACTTGAGCATTATCAGCAAGGCCAATGCTTTCCCTGTCCAAAATTCCATGTGCACATATTTAATTAAAAGGCCCCAGGGTTAATGAAGCTTTGAGTGCAGAAAAGCCTCATTCCCTGAATTGAATTTTCTTTAATTGCTCCAGAGATTGCATTTCCCAGCTGTGGTTGTCCCTTGACATGTGAATCAAGGAACTGGAAAGGGACAATTTGAATTGTCTCCTTCAGTGCCAGCTTCTTCCTCTTCTATTGATTTTTCATCTCTGGTCGAAAGAGGATTCAATGCAAATGCTTCTTTAAGTCAGGGGTTTAGCTTTTTGGTAGAACTGGAGTTGCCAATGGCTTGGACACTGGGAGTAAGGTGAAAAACAGGGAGCGTTTGTGCCGATCACATCACTCATCCCTAATGTATTGTAGAAGATGGAGAGCAAATACG